CTTTAAAATCTCTAAGTCAATCTGATACAATCTGTGTCTGATACACCTTGACTTCGAAAACAAAATGTAAATACCTTGAAGAAGTTGACACACTCGATGAACTTGAGGTAGAGACACTGAAATAAAATCATGGATTAAAATCTCAATCAAACCTTGTACGTCTTTCAACAACCCACGATCAGGAGATCTGAGGGGTTTTTCAGGAATTATGATAAGACACAATATTCCTTTGTTCACAGTGAAAAAGCTTTCAACCTGCCTGGAAGTTGTATGATATCATTTAAGATATACTAGAAACATAAGCATACCGGTCAAAGTTTAAATTGTATTGCCACTACCTCGAAATGTGAAAATATTAGTGCGAGTCTCATACGAGACTGAACTGAATGCATCTAGCGCATACCTCGTTGTAGTTGGTGTCGACACAGAAGATGATGTCGACACTGATGATGAAGTTGAAGCGCTCGATGAAGTTGAAGCCGATGACGATGTCGAAATGCTCGATGAAGTGGAAATTGACGACGACGTTGAAATGCTTGATGAAGTCGATACTGACGATGATGTCGAAGCACTTGATGATGTCGACAATGAGGAAGATGTTGAAGCGCTCGATGATGTCGATATTGATGAAGATGTCGAAGCACTTGATGATGTTGATGCTGACGACGATGTTGAAGTGCTTGATGATGTTGATGCAGAACTTGATGTAGAGACACTACAAAGAGATTTTAATCATTCTTTAAGAAAACAGTCTCTTTCTTTAAAGTTTAATTTTAAAAAACCTTCCTGTCAACGGAAAAAGATGTCAAGGCTTTAACTACTTCTACTTCTTAACTATAGACGTTATGATATTTATAGATTCTTCGAAAACAAAAATCCAGAATAATGCAGTAGACATCAATGAGTAATGAGTATTTAACTTCAGTAAATAATAAAGAGATATAAAAAATGACGATGATCTCCAAAAAACATATTTACTCTTACAATCTATGTATCTATTTTTCAATGTCTAAGATAAGTCGAGAACAAAAACATATTCACCTCTAGATATATGGTCTCAAATATATCATTTATACCTTGTTGTTGTTGGAGTAAAACACAACAAGATATAAGTAGTATTTTACATATAAGGTGCAAAAACTAATTTAAAAAAAGGCAACAACTGCAGCAGTCCACTAACTATTGGCTAATAAAACTATGGATCATTTGCGAAACGCAATAACATTAAATTAAAGCAAATGATCCAACTGGTTCTCCGACCATGATAAATGACACGATCGATTGTTTCCAGTTAACATAACGATCTCACGTGAAACCATCATGTTCTTTCCTACCTTGACGATGTTGAGACACTCGACGAAGTTGATGCAGAACTCGATGTCGACACACTACAAGAAAATTAACAAAATTTATGTGTTGGAAAGCTAAGAAAGGTAGTTAATCGTTACATATTTTAAAGATGTTACCACAATTAAATCTGTGTCTAATGCGCCTTAACTTAAACACAACTTCTAAATACCTTGAGGAAGTTGATACGCTCGACGAACTTGAAGTAGGCACACTAAAATGAAAACATGGAATAAGATTATGGGTCAGAATGTATACACACAACTCAACTTTAGACATAAGTCCTGTAAAAACCCATCCAGGGGGGTTCCTAGGGGTCTCTCAAGATTTATGATAGACTATAATAATAGTTTGGTTACAATCAGAATAACAGAAACAAAAATCTTTAATGCTCATTAAGAGAAATGTCCAGCAACGATACCTAGCTACATATTCGAATATGATCAAAAACCACTGGCGAAAGGAGGCGCGTAAGAATGTTCATTGATGAATCTCTTAACTTTGTTTTTAAGAAAAGACCTTTAATGAAGCCCTCCAGGCAATGTGGATTGAGTTGAGACATCTTTTTAGAACAACAAAATTCTTCCTCCATGAAGGGTAATATCAAGGCCAAAAAATTAAAAATGAGAGACTATTAACGGTTTTCTTTTAACAGTTTTCTTTCTGATCTGGTACATGCGGATTGGAATACACCTCTTTCTATGATGTGCCTGAAAAGCTGTAAATACGAATTCAAGTAATAAAATGTATGTGTAGGTACGGAAGGAAATCTTTCAACTCACCTAGATGGTACTGAAAAAACTTCTCCGGAGGATTTCGAAGGAGTGTACAATGAGGGAAACCTCGTTGATACCTTTGTTTCTGTCTGGGGTTTAAATGGGGTCGACACAACCTTTGAGGTGGATACACTAAGAAGAAAGCAGCATGGATTAATCGGAATACCAATCCTTTTTAAGAACTGTCATGTCCTTAAAGGAGTACAATATATAAATTGTTAGTGAGACTAACGAAGTCTAAAAGCAAGTTCATTAAGGTAGATGTCAAGGTTGAAGAAGTTGACGCAATTGACAAACTCGAACTGGTGGAAACTCTGATAAGGGAAATAAAGATTCATATCAGAAAATGGATACAGTGTGTTAAGCACAGCTTAAGTCTCAATATTTTTAAACAAAATATATGGCAATCATGGGGTTATTCATGTTTACTCTCAGTAAAAATGAGGGCCGATATAACTTTTTTACGACTCCCATAAATTAGTACCGTGGTTTAGACGGTGACGAAACAGGTGACGTTGAGACTGACGATGATGTCGAGGCGCTTGATGATGTTGATGCCGAAGACGATGTTGAAATACTGGATGAGGTCGAAATTGACGATGATGTTGAAACACTCGATGATGTCGACACTGAGGACGATGTTGAGACACTGGATGATGTCGAAGCTGATGACGACGTTGAAGCACTTGATGATGTAGACACTGATGAAGATGTTGAGATTGATGATGATGTGGATGCAGAACTTGATGTAGAAACACTACAACACAAATAAAGTAGTGTAACAAACAGATGAGGATAAAGTTGTTTTCTAACAAAGTCAATACTGAAAGTTCTTTAAGACAATTTTTATACCTGGTCGTCGTTGGTGTTGAAACACTCGACGACGTCGACGCCGAGGAAGATGTTGACACCGAACTTGAGGTTGAAGCGCTGAAAACGATAATTTTAATTAAAATAAATTGGCATTTTAACGGTTTTATGTCGACGGTATAGGAAATAAAACGGAAAAAGGTTTACAGTACTCAAAACGATGCTCTTTACAAACTAAAAGTAAAACAATTTAACATTTTAAGTAAGCATAAGAGGTAATGTAAAACAATCGTCTTTCGTTACCTTGACGAAGTTGTGACACTTGAGGAGGTGGAAGCTGAACTTGATGTCGACACACTTGTAAAAAATGAATAATAATATGGCGTTAGAAAGGCAGCTTTTAGAGTTTCTCTGATTGCCTTTGAAGTTTTGTTCACGGAGTAATTCTGATTTGATAATTACATATGGGGGTCGAGTAAAATTATTTTGATACCTTGATGAAGTTGACACACTTGACGAACTTGAAGTAGACACACTTTAAAGAGGAATAAAAAGTAACATATGAAAACAACTACAACATATGTAAAGTACCACAACATGAGTTAAAAGAGTTTTTACTGTGCTATGCACTTTAAAAAGTCTTAAGAGTATAATGTTATAGTAAAAAGGCCTAGAAAAAATATCCATTTTAACACCATGTGAACGTATTTACTTATTTGACAAAGTTTATTCAGTATGGAAATGAAGACCGATGATACTTATGGGACTACTATTATTTACGACTACTACTTTAGGAAACAAGGATAAGATCAAAATCGTTTCTGTTGTGAGCTCAGTATGGATAAAGTGAACCTAGCTTTTCGATGTAATATTTCTCATGAACGCTTTCCTTGGCTCAGACAACTGAAGTGGTCAAATCTATTAAAAACTGAACAAAATTAAGTCCTTACCTCGTCGTAGTTGGTGTCGAAACAGAAGATGATGTCGACACTGACGATGATGTTGAGGCGCTTGATGAAGTTGATGCCGATGATGATGTCGAAATACTCGATGAAGTCGAGATTGACGATGAGGTTGACACACTTGATGAAGTCGACACTGACGATGATGTAGAAGCACTTGATGATGTCGACGCTGATGACGATGTTGATACACTTGATGATGTTGACACTGACGACGAGGTTGAAGCGCTCGATGATTTTGATGCCGAAGACGACGTGGAAATGCTCGATGAGGTCGAAATTGACGAAGATGTCGAGACACTTGATGATGTCGACACTGACGACGATGTAGAAGCACTAGATGATGATGTCGATGCAGAACTTGATGTAGAGACACTACATAATATTACAGGAAACAGTAACTTTATTGAAAATTTATGTAAAGTCAAAACAAACTTCATTTACACAGAATAAATGATGACATGGGTTAGATTGCTGCTTTTTAAGTCAAACTGACATCAAAACATCATAGGGGTACTTAAACATTTTTTTCTACAAACCAGAAAAGTTCACTTCGCCAGCCACTGGTGACATAACAACTTGAATATGTATTAAAAAAGTTGTCAATTTTTGTAAACAGGTATTGAAATCAAAATGATCTGAAACAAAACATGTTTATACTTATAATAAAAGATTTAAGAAGAAAGTAACACGCAGTATTAAAACGAATTCCCTCAATTCATATCAGAAAAGGGAAAATATCATCAACAGTAACCTTGGAGAAGTGGATGCATTAAGTTATGATAATATAATGACTTAGCAGACTCGCGAAAATACAAAAGGAGTTCCTAGAGTGGTCCAGAAATAAGGACTGAAAAATATCTTTTATACCTCGTTGTTGTTGGTGTTGAAACACTCGATGACATGGACGCCGATGATGATGTTGACGCTGAACTTGAGGTTGAAGCACTGATTTGAAAGTTTAATACACCAAATATATGTCATATTTAACACACAAAATGAAAAAAATGTTAATACAAAGGCAATGATTACAACAGTTCACCAACATCAGCCAGATGACACTATGATCATTTGCAATACACAATAAAATGAAAATAAACGCAATCATCCAACCGGTCCTCTTACAAATAATCATTGACACGATTGACTATTTCAGTTATAAAAAAGATCTCACGTAAAACCACCATGTTCTTTCTTACCTTGAAGATGTTGAGACGCTTGACGAGGTTGATGCAGAACTTGATGTGGACACACTATAAGTAAATTGACAGATTTTAATCGCTGAATAGGCAAATAAAGTAATTAATCGTTAATTGAATCTATAAGACAAGTTAATACAATTACACGTGTCGAACGCACCAAAATTAACAGATTTTAATTGTCGAATAGGCAAATAAAGTAATTAATCATTAAACCTTTTGAACCTGTTTTAAAAAATTACGTGTGTGATGCACCAAAATTTAAAAACAACTCTTAAATACCTTGAGGAAGTTGACACACTTGATGAACTTGAAGTAGACACACTAAAATGGAAACATATTTAAAATCATACATCAGAAAGTCTGAGGGTTTCCTTAGCAATTATGATAAGACATAATATTCTTTTGGTTGCATTTAGAAACGCTTGCATCCTGATTCAGAGGTGGTATGGTGTCAACTAAATATGATAGAAACAAAAGCATACCGGTCAAAGTTTCAATTGTATTGCTACAACCTACAAAGACGACAATATTAGATTTGAGTCCCATACGAGATTGAGGTGAGTCTATGAAGCGCATACCTCGTTGTAGTTGGTGTCGAGACAGAAGATGATGTCGACACTGATGATGATGTTGAAGCGCTAGATGAAGTTGATGCCGACGATGATGTTGAAGCACTTGATGATGTCGATACTGACGACGATGTTGATACACTTGATGATGTCGATACTGACGACGACGTTGAAGCACTTGATGATGTTGTTACAGAACTTGATGTAGAGACACTACAAAGAGATGTTAATCATTATTTTAGAAAACAGTCACTTTCTTGAAACATCAGTTTCATAATCAACACAAACTTCACTTTCAGAGACAAAGTTTAAATTGCTTCTTTTCGAACTATAAATGTTAAAACAATTTCTACCTTCTTTTAAGCCAGATAGAATAGTGCAGTGGACAAGAGTGAAACTTGTGTCAACACACGTTTAAATGACACATCTCAAAATAAACATTTTTTTCTTTGACAAGGAAAAAGGTGACATGTTGCATTGAATTAGACTCTTGAATGATGAATAAATCAACAGAAAAATCACCTTGAGGAAGTTGATACACTAGATAATGATGATAGCGACAATGATGTAAACGTGGAACTCAAAGTAGATACACTAAAACCCAACAAGTCTACTTTCACAAAAGAATAAGGAGAAGAGTTTATGTATCTTTTTTCCTTTTTCAGTCCAAGTTAAGTCGAGAACAAGAAAATTGGACACCCTCAGAAACATGGTCTGAAGTATATCATTCATACCTTGTTGTTGTTGGAGTTGAAACACTGGATGACGATGATGATGTTGACGCTGAACTTGAAGTGGAAGCGCTGATTACAAAATAAAACACCAGAATATAGGTCACATTTACACAATACAAACAGGAGAAGTTGAAACAAAAGCAAGAATTGCAACAAGCCACTAACCACAGACAAATAACTAAGGATCATTTGCGAAACACAAAATAAAAAAGAGGTAATGATTAAACTGGTCCTCTAACGACTGATAAATGACACGATTGACTGTTTTCAGTTAGTATAAAGATCTAACATAAAACCATTATTTTCTTTACCTTGACGATGTTGAGACACTTGAAGAGGTTGATGCTGAACTTGATGTGGACACACTGCAAGAAAATTATCGGAGTTAAGTTGCCGAAAAGGCAAATTAAATAGTTAACCGTTTGAACATGGTTAAAAAAATTGCATGTGTCTGATGCACCAAAATTTAAAAACAACTCTTAAATACCTTGAGGAAGTTGACACACTTGATGAACTTGAAGTAGACACACTAAAAGTAAAACACGGAATAAAACTATCGATAAAACTGTGTATACAAAGCACAACTAAAGTTTAAACATAAGTCCTTCAAAAACCAATGGCGGGGAATTCACAAGGGTCTTTCAGCAATAGAGTATAATATCGTTTTGATTACGAGGAGAGATCTGGTCTAGAAAGTGTGCAATATCATCCAACATATGATGGAAACAAGAGCATAAATCGCAAATTAATAATTGCATCGTTATTGTCTCGGAAAGTGGCAATATCAGATTTGAGTCCCAGATCGTCCTACGTTCTTTAATTCAATCATTGCAGTATATACCTCGTTGTAGTTGGTGTTGAGACCGAAGATGATGTCGACACTGATGATGAAGTTGAAGCGCTTGATGAAGTTGATGCAGACGACGATGTCGAAATGCTTGATGAAGTCGAAATTGACGATGATGTTGAGACACTTGATGAAGTCGACACTGATGATGATGTTGAAGCACTAGATGATGTCGACACTGACGAAGATGTTGAAGCACTTGAAGATGTCGACGCTGATGAAGAAGTTGAAGCACTTGATGATGTTGATGCTGACGAAGACGTCGAGGCACTTGATGACGTCGATGCTGAGGATGATGTTGACACCGACGAAGATGTTGAGGCACTTGACGATGTGGATACAGATGAAGATGTTGAGATTGATGACGATTTGGACGCAGAACTGGATGTAGAAACACTAAAATACAAGTAAAGTATTTTAACAAACAGATGAGGATAAGGTTTTTTTTAAAAGAGGTTCATAGGAGAAGTTCTTTGAAACAATTTTTATACCTGGTCGTCGTTGGTGTTGAAACACTCGATGACGTCGACACCGAGGAAGATGTTGACACCGAACTTGAAGTTGAAGCACTGAAAACGATAATATAAAAAAAAAAAAAAGAAATTGGCATCTTATGGCTCTATATCTACAGTTTGAGAAATATAAAGTAACAAAGATAACAGAACTCAAAACGATGCTCTTATATATAGAAAAGAAAACGATTAAAGAATTTGAGTAAGCATAGGAGGTAATGTAAAACAATCGTCTTTCATTACCTTGACGAAGTTGAGACACTTGACGAGGTGGAGGCTGAACTTGATGTTGACACACTAATAAAAAAATTACAAATTGAATTGCGTTAGAAAGGAAGCTTTCATAGTTTCTTTGATCGGCTTTGCAGTTTTATTCACGGGGTAATTCTAATTTAATGATTACATCTGGGGATGAAGTAATACTGTTTTGATACCTTGATGAAGTTGACACACTCGACGAACTTGAAGTAGACACACTTTAAAGAGAAATAAAAAGTAACATTAGAAAACGACTGCAACATATGTACAGTCCCTCAACTTGATTTCATCGAGTTTTTGCTTTGCTATCAGAAATTCCAGTTTCTTTTCACTCCTTTAAGCTACTGAAAGAGTTATTCATTTAAAATTGCTTGTAAGTTGGATATCTATACTTCCGGCACTTTTGAAAAACTTAGAGTATAATAAGTATTTAAGGCCATGGATAAAACTTTTTCATGTAAATGCCTACTTTTAATTTTTGCGATCAATGTTTTAGTTTCAATACCATATATATGTTTCTTGTAAAAAGGCTAGGAAAAAGAGTCTATTTTAAGCCAAAGTGAACATATTTGCCAAAGTTTGTTCAGAATGGAAATGAAGGCTGAGGATACTTTTGGGACTATTTTTTATTAATGACTACTACATTACAAACAAGGCTTAGATCAAAATCATTTAAGTTGTAAGCAAGGTGTGGAGGTAGTGAGCCCAACTCTTAGGTAGAAATATTTCTCATAAATGCATTCCAAAGGTCAGACAAAGTGATCGACTCTATTAAAAACTAAACAAGATTAAATCCTTACCTCGTTGTAGTTGGTGTCGAAATAGAAGATGATGTAGACACTGACGATGATGTCGAAATGCTCGATGAAGTCGAAACTGAGGACGATGTTGAAGCGCTAGAAGACGTGGAAACTGATGATGAAGTTGAAGCACTTGATGATGTTGACACTGACGATGAGGTTGAAGCGCTCGATGATGTTGATGCCGAAGACGATGTGGAAATGCTCGATGAGGTCGAAATTGACGAAGATGTCGAGACACTTGATGATGTCGACACTGACGTCGATGTAGAAGCGCTTGATGAAGTTGATGCCGACGATGATGTTGAAATGCTCGATGAGGTCGAAATTGACGACGAAGTTGACACACTTGATGAGGTCGACGCTGATGACGATGTTGATACACTTGATGAAGTCGAAACTGAGGACGACGTTGAAGCGCTGGATGATGTTGATGCCGACGACGATGTGGAAATGCTCGATGAGGTCGAGATTGATGAAGATGTCGAGACACTTGATGATGTAGACACTGACGACGATGTAGAAGCGCTAGATGATGTTGATGCAGAACTTGATGTAGAGACACTATCAAGAGATATTATACAATATTACAGGAAACAGTAACTTTATTAAAAATATATGTAAAGTGTCGAAAAAAACTTCATTTACACAGAATTAATGATGACATGGGTTAAATTGCTACTTTTTTAAGTCATTGACATCAAAACATTATATGGGTACTTAGACATTTATGTCTACAAACCAGAAAAGTTCACGTCGCCACCACTACTGACATACAAACTTTAGTATGTACTAAAAACGTTGTCAATTTTTGTCAAAAGGTATTGAAATGAAAATGATCTGAAACAAAACATGTTTATACTTATGAAAAAAGATTTGAGAAGAAAGTAACATGCAGTATTAAAATGAATTCTCTCAAATCATATCAGAAAAAGGAAAAAACATCAACAGTAACCTTGGAGAAGTGGATGTATTAAACAATGATGTAATGACAAAGTAGAGTCGAGAAAATACAAGAACTCAAAAATATCATTTATACCTCGTTGTTGTTGGTGTTGAAACACTCGATGACGTAGACGCCGATGATGATGTTGACGCTGAACTTGAGGTTGAAGCACTGATTGGAAAGTTTAATACACCGAAATATATGTCATATTTTACATAAGAAATGAAAAAAATGAAAATGAAGGCAATGATTACAAAAGTTCACCAACAACTGGCAATTTACGCGATGATGCATTTGCAATACACAATAAACCGACAATAAACACAATCATCCAACCGGTCCTCTTACAAATAATCATTGACACAATCGCCTACTTCAGTTCGAATAAATATCTAATGTAAAACCATCGTATTCTTTCTTACCTTGACGATGTTGAGACACTTGAGGAGGTTGATGCAGAACTTGATGTGGACACACTACAAGAAAATTTACAGATGTGAATTGTCCTATAGGCAAATAGAGTAGTTAATTGTTAATTGAATCTTTAAGAAATGCTAATACAATTACATATTTTTCTGATGCACCAAAATTTAAAAACGACTCTTAAATACCTTGAGGAAGTTGACACACTTGATGAAGTTGAAGTTGACACACTAAAATTAAAACATGGAATAAAATTATAGATAAGACTGAGTATACACAGCACAACTAAAGTCTAAACATAATTCCTTCAAAAACTCATGATGGGGAGTTCACAAGGGTCTTTCAGCAATAGAGTATAATAACGTTTTGGTTACAGGGAGAAATCTGATTTAGAAAGTGAACGATATCAAACAACATATGATGGAAACAAGAGCATACCGGTCAAGGTAATAATTCTATCATTATTATCTCGAAAAGTGGCAATATCAGATTTGAGTCTCATATCATTTTACGTTCTTGAACAAACATTGCAGTATATACCTCGTTGTAGTTGGTGTTGAGACCGAAGATGATGTCGACACTGATGATGATGATGTTGAGGCGCTTGATGAAGTTGATGCAGACGATGAAGTTGATGCAGACGACGACGTTGAGACACTCGATGAAGTCGAGACTGACGACGATGTTGAGACACTCGATGATGTCGACACTGAGGACGATGTTGAAGCACTTGATGACGTCGACGCTGACGACGACGTTGAGGCACTTGACGATGTGGACGCTGATGATGATGTTGAAATTGATGATGATGATGTGGACGCAGAACTTGATGTAGAAACACTAAAATACAAATAAAGTTGTTTAACAAACAAGTGAGGATAAAGTTTTCTTCTAACGAGGTCTATAAAGGAGTTCTTTGAAACAATTTTTATACCTGGTCGTCGTTGGTGTTGAAACACTCGATGACGTCGACACCGAGGAAGATGTTGACACCGAACTTGAAGTTGAAGCACTAAAAACGATAATATAAATAAAAAGAAATTGGTATTTTAATGATTTTCTGTCGACGGTATGAGAAATAAAAACGAACAAAGATGACAGAATTGAAAACGATGCCCTTAACAAATTAAAACGATCAAACATTAAAGTAAGTATAAGAGGTAATCTGAAACGATCATCTTTCGTTACCTTGACGAAGTTGAGACACTTGACGAGGTGGAAGCTGAACTTGATGTCGACACACTAATAAAATATTTTTAAAATATTTTTAAAATATTTCATGGCGTTAGAAAAGCCGCTTATATAGTTTCTCTGATTGCCTTTGTGGTTTTGTTTACGGGGTAATTCTGATTTGATAATTACATCTGAAGATCTTGTAATATTGTTTTGATACCTTGATGAAGTTGACCCACTTGACGAACTTGAAGTAGACACACTTTAGAGAGAAATAAAAACCACCATGAGAAAACAACTGCAATATAAGTACAGTACCACAGCACGAGTTAATTGAGTTCTTGCTGTGCTACTAACAAGTCAGATTTCTTTTCATTCCATTAACCCGCCTGTAGAGTTATCCATTTAAAATTTCTTTTTAGTTAGATGTCTATACTTCTGGCAGTTTTAAAAGCCAAAGAGTGTAATAAGTATTTAACTCCATTGCTAAAATTCCTTTATTGGAAATGCCTACTTTTAATTTTTTCGATCAATGGTTTAGTTTCAATATCATATATATGTTCTTCTAAAAGAGATAAGAAAAAAAAATAAGATTTTTATCCTGTGTGAACGTATTTACCTCTTTGACAAAGTTTATTTAGTATGGAAATGAAGACCGATAATACTTATGGGACTACTGTTATTAATGACTACTACATTAGGAAACAAGGTTTAGATCAAAATCGTTTCAATTGTGAGCTCAGTATGGATGTAATGAACCAAAGCATTTCAGGAGTAGTATTTCTCATAAAGGCTTTCCTTAGCTCAGACAACTAAAATAGTCGCGTCTATTAAAAACTAAACACGATTAAGTCCTTACCTCGTCGTAGTTGGTGTCGAAGCAGAAGATGATGTCGACACTGACGATGATGTGGACGCACTTGATGATGTAGACACTGATGATGATGTTGAAGCACTGGATGAAGTTGATGCAGACGACGATGTTGAAATGCTCGATGAGGTCGAAATTGACGACGATGTTGACACACTCGATGAAGTAGACACTGACAATGATGTTGAAGCGCTCGACGATGTTGACAATGACGACGATGTTGAAGCACTTGATGATGTCGACACTGACGACGATGTTGATACACTTGATGAAGTTGATATTGACGATGACGTCGAAGCACTTGATGATGTCGACACTGACGACGAGGTCGAAGCACTTGATGATGTTGATGCAGAACTTGATGTAGACACACTAAAAAGAAATATTAATCATTATATTAAAAAAACAATCACTTTATTGAAAGTTTAATTAAATTCTTAAAACAAACTTCATCTTTAGAGACAAAGCTTAAATTGCTTGTTTTAAACTATAGACGTTAGAACAATTTCTAGCTTCTTTGAAGCCAGAAATATAGAATAATGCAGGAGACAATGAATAATGAGTGAAGCTTGCCTCAAAACTCGTTTAACATGATATTTATCCTAAAATAAACATTTTTTCTCTTACAAAGAAATTTGAGAAAAAGGTAACGTGTTGCATCGAATTAGACTTCCTCGAATAATATAGAAATCGTCAAAAATTACCTAGAAGAAGTGGATACACTAGATGATGTGGAACTTGAAGTAGAAACACTAAAAAACCAACAAGTATACTTTTACTAAAGAATAAGGACAAGGATCTAGGTATCTTTTTTTGCAGAGTCTAAGTAAAGTCTAGAACAAAATTAATGGACACCTCCAGAATCATGGTCGGAAGTATATCATTCATACCTGGTTGTTGTTGGAGTCGAAACACTCGATGACGTTGACGCCGATGATGATGTTGACGCAGAGCTTGAAGTGGAAGCGCTGATTAAAAAATGCAACACACCAAAATATATGTCACACTTTACATACATAATACATAAGAAGAAAAATTAAAAGATAAGCAAGAATTGCCACAAGCCACTAACCACAGGCAAATGAAACTAAGGATCATTTGCAAAACACAATAAAATAAAAGAGGCACTGATTCAACTAGTCCTCTTACGACTGATAAATGACATGATTGACTGTGTTCAGTTGACATAAAAATCTAACGTAAAGCCATCATGTCCTTTATTACCTAGACGATGTTGAGACACTTGACGAAGTTGACGCAGAACTTGATGTGGACACACTGCAAGAAAAATTACAGATTGCAATTGTCGAGAAGGCAAATAAAGTAGTTTATGGTTGAACCTTTAGGACATGAAGATTTTAGATATATGAAAATTCACATATTTGCACTGCGGTGGAAAGATGAAATTAGGAGATCCTCGCAGCTAAGAACACTACTGAAACGAGTAGTTGTAAATAGGACCTGAAAAAAATTTCAGGCCCGTACGGGATATGAACCCATGACCTCTGCGATACCGGTGCAGCGCTCTACCAATTGAGCTAACAAGCCAACTGGGAGCTGGTCAATGAATTGGGTCCAAATAAACATCCAAGTGAATGAAGATTTTAGATATATGAAAATTCACATATTTGCACTGCGGACATGTTAATAAAACTCCTTATGTGTCTGATACAACAAAATTTACAACAACTCCTAAATACCTTGAGGAAGTTGACACACTTGATGAACTTGAAGTGGAAACACTGAAATAAAAACATGGAATAAAGTTATAGATCAACGTGTGTATACACAGCACAACTAAAGTTTAAAAATAACTCCTTCAAAAACTTATAATAAGGAGTACTCAGGGGTCTTTCAGGATAGAGTATAATAACGGTTCGGTTACAGGAAGAAAACTGATTTGGAAAGTGTAAGATGTCAACCAACATATGATAGCAACACGAGCATACCGATCAACGTAATAATTGTACTATTATTGTCTCGAAATGTGGTAATATGAGATTCAAGACTCATATGTTCATATGAGATTGATCTGAATCATTGAAGTGTATACCTCGTTGTAGTTGGTGTTGAGACTGAAGATGATGTCGACACTGATGATGATGTTGAGGCGCTTGATGATGTGGATGCCGAAGACGATGTTGAAATGCTCGATGAAGTCGAAATTGACGACGATGTTGAGACACTCGATGATGTCGACAAAGAGGACGAGGTTGATGCACTTGATGACGTCGACGCTGACGACGACGTTGATGCACTTGACGATGTGGACGCTGATGAAGATGTAGAGATTGATGATGATGTGGACGCAGAACTGGATGTAGAAACACTAAAATACAAGTAAAGTAGTTTAACAAACAGATGAGGATAAAGCTTTTTTCTAACGAGGTCTAT